CCATGTGTCTGCTAATAAAGAAGAATTATTAAGAGCATATCATGAAGAACGAGCTAGACTAGAGGATCAAATAGAAAGAATGAGGAAAGCTAATAAAGTAAATACATGTAAAGCCTTGATTAAATACTTAATGGAACACTGTCTTGTATTTTATAGGTATTAATGGAGAAAGTAAATGCTTATAAGTCAGGAACTACACCTGTAATTGACACTCCTAGGTTGTCACCCAGCGTCAGGAAACCTCAGCATCCTTTACCTCCCAGTATTGCTGAACGTCCAGGCTTTACTATTGCACCAGTGGTACAGAGTGATGGTGATGGCATGTTAGTAGTATCAAAGACTGAGGGAATCACTCCTGCTCACCATACTGATAGTGATAGTGTTCCTGATGATAGTCCTGCTTTTATCTCTAAAGAAGAAATGGCTAGGATGTTTAAATCATATAATCAACAAGGCAGCAGTGATTGGAGTCAGTCACCTCAACAGGTTGAAGACTCATCATTAGCAGCACAAAAAGTGCAACCAACAGAAGAATCATTAGTTGCTGAACAAAAGAGACAAGAATTAGCAAGGAAAGCTGATGATGCATTGCTTGAAGTTGATCGTATGAGAAGACAAGCAGATCTCAAGCAGAAACCAGTACACCAACAAACCAACAATGATTCCGATACACAAGATGAATCAAGACCAAAGGGTCAACTGACAAAAGAAATAGAAGAAATGGCTGATGAAGTACGTAAAGCAAGTAGAGGGCCAAACACAGATGAGGTTATATTTAATGATGATCCAAATGATGACAGGCCCTACGATCCTAACCTGGTCTGTCCAAGATGTGGAAAACAGTATCGTGTAGGGGAAATACAAAAGCTTAGACGCCACATAAATGAATTTTGTACTGGAATAAGATAATAATAATAATTAATATTAGTGTTGTAATAATGGTTAATTTTACATTGTAACTTATTTTAGATTATTTGATTGTGATGTCATCGTTAGTTAGAAAACAAAATCCCATCAATTCTTAACATCCTTAATAATATTAATAATTAATTTTTTAATATTTTACTATTATTATACATGTATTGCTAGTAAAATTTGCCAAAATTGTTTACATAAGGAATTTCCTGTTTTTAATATGGCAACTCCTCATGAAGAAGAAAAAATTGAAGTAAAAACTACTCTTCCTATTCGGCCTAGCACAAGAAATGCGTCTCATGGCACACAAACTAAAGAATTAGATCAAAAGGTAAAAAGTACCAACAAGTGATGAGCCCCAGATCAGCCCCTCTTTGTAGATTTTTTCAATTTTTTTATCAATTTACTTATAAGTGGATTTGTTTAATTATGTATGAGAATCCTGGGCCCTTAGTTAGTTTTGCAATGCCAGATCATATCATTTTCTTTGTGTATAAAAGGTAACACTTTTATGATTTGACCTATTACAGGAGCTAATTATGGTTACGTTACAAAGGGATCGATATAAAAGAGATTGTGAAAATAAGGATAAACAGATTCTAGAGTATCATGAAGCTCTGGCGGAAAAGGAAACAGAATCAATGTATCAATCTTCAGTAATCAAGGAGCTAGAGAAGCAATTAGCAGCTTATGTAAGCTGCTCTGAATGCAAATCCATGCATTTTATAATGTAATCATCGTATAGGCTGGTGGTGGTGATAATAATAGTCCATCAGATCAAGGCACTAAAGTCAGAGAGCTTGAGGATCAAATTGCTAAAGTAGAAGATGACAAAAGGCTACTAGTGAAAGCCCAAGAAACCCTTCAAAATGATTTGAGGGTAGCTGATGTGCATTTTATTTATATATTGTATTTTTCTTGTTAGGATAAAGATAAAGCTATTCAAAATTTGATAGTGGACCTTGAATATTGCAAAGTAATTAATCTAACATGTCTTTCATCATTAATCATTATAACTACTAAAATAAAGGCACTAAACAAAGAATCAGAAAAATTGAAAGATACACTAAAGCACCTTGAAGAAGTAATTGCTATGTTAGCTTGTTATGATTTTGCTTTTTTACTTCTAGGAAATGACTAGCACAAAGAAAACTGTTGAAGAATTAAGCGGTGACCTTAGTAATAAATTGCA